CCCCCCCCCCACCATTTCCCTGCTCCAGCATAATGTATTCTTCCAGTCTGGGCCAGGCTTTGTCTCCCATCAGCCATATCTGTGTGCTCCAGCCTCCAGCACAGGGCAGGTGCCATTCGAGTGATTGTTGATTGAAAGAGTGGGTGACTTCCTGATTATGGAAGACTTCCTGGCTGGAAGCAACAAGGTGTAGTGGAAAGCTTTGTGGCCGCAGAGGCAGAGGCTAGAGGGCTCTAGCTGGGGCTTCAGCTCTTGCCACATGCTTTGGACCAGCTCACAGGCCTTGCTGGCCTCACCTTCCAAGCCAAAGGCTAATGCATACCTGAATTTTTCTCTCCACCTCAGAAGCTCAGCACTGTTGCCTGATGACTTACCCCTTCAGGTGTGCCTCCCTGTCATCCAGGTCTGCTGGACTGTCACTCTTCCAGTCAGCTGGTCCAGCAGAGGCCAGAGTGGCACTGGAGCTGAGGGAGAAAGCACACATGCCTGATGAGGCCTCAGATCAAAGGGGACTCGGGGCCCTTCCCAGTTGCCTTCTCACTAATGATGTATTGTATGGTGACTAACATAACATAATAAAATAAAATTTTAAAAAATCAGGCAGATTGATGCTCACAGCACGTTGAGCAGTCACAGCTCACCTCATCGCCTGTGCAAGCCTGCACTTGAGTAGCATGTTCACTAAGAGTTCCTCATGTTTGTTCTCAAATCTGTTTATCCCATTTGTACTTCCAACCATAATTACTAAATTCAATTATTAAACTCATAAAAGTGAATGGGAAAAAAAGTGAATGGAAAAGGAGTGATTGTTTTCTGCATAAGAAATAACATTTTCTGGGATGCCTGGGTGGCTCTGTCGGTTAAGTGTCTGCCTTTGGCTCAGGTCATGATCCCAGGGCCCTGGGATCAAGTCCCACCTCGGGCTCCTTGCTCAGCGGGGAGCCTGCTTCTCCCTCTGCCTGCCGCTCCCCTTGCTTGTGTGTGCGCGCTCTCTCTCTCTGACAAATAAATAAAATCTTAAAAAAAAGAAAGAAAGAACATTTTCTGGGGCGCCTGGCTGGCTTAGTTGGTAGAACATACAACTCTTGATCTCAGGGTTGTAAGTTCGAGCCCCACACTGGGTGCAGAGATTACTTAAAAATAAAATCTTAAAAAAAAAAAAAGAAAGATTTTCCTTGGAAATATAATAAAGGCAAGTTTCTTAAAAATCACTGTCAAAATAAGGATAGGTAAGACAATGTATAAAACTCTTGAATCTTGAAAGGTTAAAAGTCATAAAAATCTAGACAATTCTTCAGATTATTTTGTAAGGTAACTTGATGTTTGGCTTTATTTTAAGGAAACTGAAAGCAGAAAGCAAAGATTTTACTTTATGAAGGTGTGTAAGCAAGAAGGATGATCTGGATGAATATTCAAACATGAAGCAGAAGTCTACAACAGCAACCAGCAAATTCACTTAATAGCACAAGTGCTGGCCAGCACATAGTGATGCAGGCTGCAAGTGCTGGGTTCTCAGAGAGTCCTCCCCGCTAGTGACAGCTCAAAGAGCCAAGACTCCAGCCCAGTGGCCTTTCCTGGTATCTGCATGCCCTTGTGGCTCTCGGCAGACACTGGCTTTGTCATTCCTCTTTGTCCATTTGCTCTGAACCATAAGGGCGCTAGCACAACTTGGAGCTGAACTATCTGTGCCAACATCAGCATACTTATTCTTTGTCCCCAAGGATGACTCATTCTTGGCTTGGAACCACTTGGGGACAGGTGGGACCTTGCCACTTCCTGAATCACCTGAGAAAGTGGCCCCTGACTCCACCCAGGTCCAGGAATTTGAGCCCAGCCAGACATGCTTGTCTTCTCAGAGGGGCCACTGCTTTTCCTCTCACTGAACCAAAGAGCATAACTGGCCAGGAAAGGCTGGTGGGGCAGGAAAAGGAGCTTTGGGGCTTCTGGAAGGGAAGGGAGAAAGCAGAGATGAAGGACCTCCTTCAGCCTGTCCTCAGAGCTCAGCCAAGAAGAAACAAATGACCATCATTTGGTCATTTGTTTGTTAGTCTGTCCCTTCACTCATTCCCCACACATTCATCCTACCTCCTGATGCCTGCCCAGGCAAGGGCTGGGCCTCCGGCTGCAAGTGGGCCCTTGTGCTTGCTCTGTAGGATCTTGAGAGCCAGTGGCAGAAGGTAGAAGGAGCAAGATTCAAGCATCGGCAATTCCCATAAGTGGAAAGCCCAGGGACAAAGGATGTGGTGGCAGCAACTGGAGAAGCGAGCTGTACATAGGACTATGGGAAATGACAGTGCTCAGTCCCCAGCAACCCAAGCAGTTTTGGCAGCTTGACTCTGGCCTGTCACCGGAACATGAGAGAATCAGTAAGTTGAGGCCACCTGCCTTCCCCAGGCAGCTTACCCTCCTCTCCCAGAGCCAATGTCTGCTCCAGTCAAGCCTTCAGGTAGGAAGCTCATGGCTCTGGATCCCACATTGCCATCGCTTGACTGTGTGCTTGACCTGTTACGGGAAGAGAAGCATTTGCTGACTCTGATTAGGTTTTGATCTAATATAACTAAGATGTCCTGAGAGCAAGCCTCAAGGACTAGAAGCCCAGGCTCTCGGCTGCCACCCTGCGCTGCTCCAACTAGAGCCAACCTGACACCAGCAAGTATTTCTGCTTTTCTTCCAAACCTAATGGACCAGGAGCAAGAGTGAAGCCAAAACAATAGAGCAAAGTGGCAACTCAGGAGGAGGCTGGCACAATGGAGGGATCAATGGCTGAAAAGAACAAGGGGCAAGGCATTTGGGGCCACTAATAAACCAGAGCCCAGGGCAGAAACAAGATCCCCAAGACATCCTGGGTCCCCTTCGCTCATTTCCATGGCTGAGTCCCCACTGGGGATCCAGAACTCCACACTGAGAAAATGGTGGCAGACAGGCAAGGTTGTGGGCTCTTATCCATTACTGGCTACCAGAATCCCATTGAAAAATTGTCTAAATCTCAGCCACTGCTCACCACACCCAGGCTTCCCTGGTCTGGCTTGGAGGACAACTCAATGAGATGGTCATAGGATGGCTGGGCACAACCATCCCTTCTGGACTCATCATCCCCCACTGGCTCTGCCTCACATCCTTGCCAGCCTCTACCATGTCTCCCTTTATCCACAGGCCATCCTGGAAGTCCATGCTAGATGTTCTGTTGAGGCCCATGTATCCTTTGGTCACTGACTTCCTTAAACTGCTGACTTGGCAGCCTTGCTTGCCCTGGCCATCAGCAGGACTGCTTTCAATGGGGACAAAGGCACAGTGAAGTTGGGCCAAAGGCTGGGGTGGGGTGGTCTGGCCTAGAGTTTTGTCCAGCTCTGCAACTGGCTCCCTGAGGGCTCTTGGCAGGGGCCTGCCCCTCTCCAGGCCTCATACATTCCTTCATTTATTCTTTCAACAAATATTCATTGAGGACTTGCACTGCCTTAGGCACTGGGGACACAGTGGGGAACTGGACAGTCCTGGTCCCAGCTCCATCCATTGACTTAGACCAAGGGCCACATGGGCTCTATGTCCCTGCACTGAGTTACCTTTCAGAGTCTGGACTGGGGCTCTTGCAGGCCTCCTCACCAAACAAGTCTCTCTTGGCCTCTCTAGGGCTGGGAGCCTCTTTGTCTTTGGAGCCTGGGGAAGAACTATGGAGGAAAGAAACATAAGTTAACCACCCACGAGCCACCCACACTCAGAGGAAGGAAGTTACCTCATCCCTAAATGCCAACTATCTCCAAGGAACTTAAAATCTGGTACTGTTGGACTGGCCAATTCTCAAATTCTCATTACTAATAGCGACTGTTGATTGAGGGTCAGACGCCAATCTCATGATTCTGCATGCATTAACCATCCACATAAACCCCAGGATATGGGCACTGTATTTATCCATGCCTACCTTCCAGATGAGTGAATGTGGGCACAGAGAGCCCAACCAATTTGCCCCAAGTTCCCCAGGTAGCAAGGGGAAGAGCTAGGATTTGAACCCAGTCTGACTGCAGAGTTCTGGACTATAATCCTCCATGATGTTAAGACTGCTCCTAACCTCCTAATTCAACCTCCCTCTGTTCTCTCTGACCTAGTGGGCCACTTCTGCCTTCTTTCCCCCATCTGTCTGTCCTGACTCTGTGACACCATCTCCTACCTCCCTTGCCATACCTTCCCAGTCTCCTTCACTTTTTTCTCCTCTTCTGCCCTGTAATTTTGGTGTTCTCAGCATTCCTTTCCATGTGCATGCTCCACCACCTTGCCCACTTCCTCTGCTCCCATGGCATCAACTACTACCTTCAAGCCAGTGACTTCTACTTGTTCCCACCTCTCTGTGTTCCTGACCCATACCTCCAACGCCTTTCAGACTGGCCCTCAGACAGCTTATCTTCAACATGGCTAGAATTGACTGCCATCCCCAGCCGCCCTCAGCGGGGGATGACCAGGCAGTTGCCACCTCCACACTGGGATCTGTGCTCAGCCTGCTGGCTCTTCTCTCCTTGATTCCCTTTACATTGTACCCCATGTAAACACTGACATTGAATCCCATTATTTCACTTTAATCTGTCTGCATATAACATGGAAATTTCTTGAGCCCTAACCTCTTTTCAAAACCTCAACTACAAACCCTCAAATGCCTCCTGGCAATTTGCATTTGGATGCCCACAAGTAAACTCATCATATATTTATTAAAAAATACGAAGTATTTATATCACCCCTTCTTGCCCCTTCACCCTGTCCCCAGTAGTGTACTGAATTATGGAGCAAAAGGCACAGAGTGGGAGTCAAGCAGCCTGGGTGGGAGTCTTGAATCTGCCTGTTCTTGGCTGTGTTACCTTGAGCAAGTTACTTGACCATTCAGGGTCTCAATTTCCACATCTGTAAAATGGACATAGTGACTGCATTTACATCCTGCATGGGAATACCTGCTAGGCTGTTGGGGCAGGGCAGGACTTGGTCAATTCTAGCTTTCCCTCTTTCTTCTTCCCCCAACTTGATTCTCCCGTTGGAAAGTGGGGGAGGGGCACCCCATGGGATCTCAATGGGTTATCGTAGCTTTGCCACTCCCAGACAAAGTACCAGAAGCCTTGTGGGTT